TCACCATTCTCAATGAATTTCGATTTCATCCCGAAGGAATTGAGCCTAGGCATATAACTCTGCGGACCCTCAAAGAACGTTTGAAGTAGAAAAGTTACAGGTTGTCTGGTAACTAATGCAGCTCAATGCAGTCATGGCCTAAGCCTCTGCCTCCAGAGTTCCTCACAAATTTTGATCCTTTGAAGCGACCCCCACGATCACCACCCCAAGGTTGTGGGGCTCTTAATTCTTGCACTCTTTTTCGGAACAGAAAATGGTTCCATCCATAAATCTCACAAAATCCCATCTTGCACGACCCTTTCAAAAATGCCCTCAAATAGAGAATGCATTTAATACCAATGCCAGTTCGCACGCCAACACCAAACACTCACTTGAAAGAACAACTTTTTCCTTTTTTTGAGAAATGGTCACTCTGACAATGGAGCAAAATGATAGTTCCACTGAACAAATCGAATAATCCAACAGCAAGTGTTCTATTTTAACTCCATTCCTCCGAATAAGTTGGAAAATACGGTTGCCCATGCTCGATTAGAGATTTTCAATAGGCTTTCGGCCGACATGGTGCCATGCATCAATGATTACTCCCTAAGCTCACGGACATTGTGGAATTGTGCATTGTTCTCATGGATCATACGCACCATGAAGCCCCTCACATCCTCGATTGGGTTTAAGTCGGGGCTACTCGCTGGCCAGGGCAAAAAGGTTTGGTGACGACTAAATCACGCTCAGCCAAAAACTAACCTTACTTCAATCGGTTTGGCAACATCTTCTAGCGAAGCCAAGCCATTTCGATTTTCGCGATGGTTTCTGTTGGGAACGGTGCCCTCCTCACATTCCTCCAGTGATGCACTCGGGTCTTTTTCAAGACACGCCTAACAGTATCCTTCGAGACATTAACCTTTGAAGATGACTTAATTTCCCGACACGACACTGCAGAGTTGGATGCTTTCCTAAGGATACGGCGCTTATTCCGATCGGGCAGCAAAGAGGATGTCCAGAGCTCTTCTCAACTCAATATTTCCTTGAATTGTTGATAGCAGTAATGAGTGCGGCCGAAATCCCGTGCGATTCGACAGGTTTGACAGTCCTTGGTCTTCTTTGCAATAATCTGCCCTTTTTCGAACGACGATGGATATCCACTCGCCATAGCCTAGAAAAGGCAAAAAGTCATAATGATGAGACTCAATGAAAAATGAGATGCAGCGGGGCAAAGCGGTGTATAGAAACTAGACCATTTTGCTCCATTGTCAGAACCACCATTTTTCAAAAGATTGGAGAATCAAAAAGTTGCTCTTCCAAGTTAATGTTGACATAGGAATTGGTATTGGTAATTACCACATTTTTCGTGAGGGGGGCATTTTTTGAAGACGTCGTTGGCAAGACGGGATTTTGTGAAGATGCATTGAGGTGGAACTACAATTATGCACTGTTGTGTGCATAAGTTTTAGCTGACCCATATGCCACATATGCTGACCATTTTCACCGAGTTCACCACTTGTATCAGAAATTTGAGTTTCTGGAAAAAGCTCATAAGCTCTTGTTTGGAAAGATCTGTGAATTGTCTTGGTTTTTATTTCGATCGCAAAAGATAACTCAGTGCTGAGATAAGCTGTCTTGAAAATCAGGGTCGAAAAGTTGCGTTATTTTTCAGAGAACCTCATTTTAGAATTCGTCATAAAACACAAGACAGTACTTTTCAGCCTATCGTACTGAAGAAGGAAAACCATGGGTATTGCCGGTGGTTCGCGAGGCGGAAAAGTTAATCGCAGCTGACGAATCGCTCAACCATGAATACCTACCGGTTCCTGGGAATGGAAGCGTTCACAGAGGCTGCTTGCCATTTGGTACTAGGAGAAAATAGCCCAGCAATCAAGGATGGCAGGGTAAGAGTAACTGCTCCTACTTAAAATATTCACCGAACATTAATTTTTATATAAAAGGTGAGCGCTGAAGAAGCCGCTTCACAATGCCTCTAGTAAAATCATTTGCACCATGATCATGAGTAGAACTAGAGCCTGTAGCACATTTTGAAGTCACTTCAAGCAGTTAAGCAACAAACAGGCATAGCTGACAATAGTCTAGTTCGTTTCGGGCGAAGAGGCGTGTCAGGCCGGATGGGTTTGGCGCCAAACAAGTTCTCCGCCAATTGTTGAAGCGAGCAAGCGGCAGGTATGTGTATCCTAGCGTTTGAATCGCTCGTTTTCTTCCAGTTGTCTCCGCGTACCCCACTTCAACGTGGCAGGGAACGGGTTTGGCCCCGTGGCACACTCATGCTGCATGTCACGCCTCTTCATCCTGGGGGAACCTAGAGCATATGTCTTCCTGTGTTTGTGGTACACAACCGGAGAGGAATGAATAAAAGACTTCTCTGAATTTCATCAATGAAATAAATAGAGCTCAGCTGGAAAATTATTGATTTTCTTACTTGAGTAAGCTTGTCACTACGTATTTCCAGTATTTTGGTACGCAGTGCCTTTCCGGTACCGGCTCATTACGTGCTGGAGCTGAGTTTTTGGCTCGAGTTCTCGGTTACAAGACTGTTTATCTGAGTAATCCAACTTGGTTAGTTTAGAATGGTTCAGCTTTCAGTTCTGAAATTAACTGAGTCTTTATCTCCCGTAGGGGTAATCACAAGCTGGTGTTCACAAACTCTGGCTTCGACAAGATCTGCGGTTATACTTATTGGGATCCTGTCAATAGGAGAGTAGACATCGATAAGGTGCTTAGCGACTTGGAAAATGCGCCGGAAAAGTAAGTTTCTCATTGAGGTATTCAATCGTTTCCTGTGATGTTTGCCGAAAGAGTTATTAGCGGTGCACAGGGCAAAAAAGAAAATGTAT